ACTCGTCTCTTGCATTCTCGATACATTTTGGTCGTAGTAATTCATTTATTTGGAAATTACTAAGTTTCAGTGTAGAAAAATGTGCCGTCCCAGGCGCAAGTCATGGGAAAAATGGCTCGTCGTCAACGTGTTAAAGTAGCCTGGTCAATATTATGAGTAATAATACCCAAGGCAATACACAAAATAGTGACGCTCACGCCTTTTTAAGACCGTTCCTCTGGAACTGCTTCAACGCGGACTGTAAGCACCTGCGCACAGTCCGCATAGAAGCGGTCTCCTACACCCCTTCATTACAGCTCGAGCATGGCTGCTGATGGGTCGAAATGAGGGACCATACCACAGCTCAGTCAGTCTTTCAAAGTTTCGACTGGAGTTTTCGAGACGAAATGTGGTGTGCAGGTCCATCTGTACTTGGACTGAAGTGGCCTGTGAAACTACTACACCATAGGGAAGCTGTTACAGCAGCCGATCTTGATACACCGCAGCATCGAAATTTGAACTAGGCTGAAGACTGAAGGGGAGGAAAGCATTTGTCTTCACAATACTCTTTCAACATGACGCAGACAATGCACCTTGCAGAAAAGGCCGAACGAAGCATAGCCTGCTCTCAGCGCGGTATATTCTAGAAGCAGGTATTCTTAGTAACATGTACTGGTAGGGCAATGATTCACGACAGAAGGTCAAGTAAGAGTCGAGATACGTTGCGCCGTCCTGCATGTCATGTGTAGTGATGAAGCCCTTTAGCTGTCGGAACAATAGCAAAGCTCACAACATCAGTAGTGCACTTGATATTGCGAGTTCTACTCGGCAGTATAGTTCAGTCTCGATAAATATGGCAGCATAACCCCTCTACCTCAATATGGTACCATTAATGAAAGGGTGAAAACCTTGGCTTATCAGCGATAAATCTGTCAAGTTTTCGCGAATGAAATAGCAAGTTACTGATGAATTCAAAGAATTAGGACTAGGTTGATTCGATTAACCAGACCAGGTTTCATTGATAAATGCATGGTTACCATTGCAATGAATATGTGCTATCGTAGTCAAAGCACGGAGTGGAGATTTGTAGAACAGATGCAACCGAACTAAACACCCATATTTTTTTCTGAAACCGTCTACAGTTATGTTCTCCTTCAGAATTTTGTTATTGTTCTTGTTTTCCCTAGGCTGCTGCTATCACCGTATAGTTCCTCTCTTCATGACTTATCAGGGTGGTGGATTTTCCCACAGACTGTTTTCCGTGTTTTCAGTAGAATACTTACTTTCCCATAGAAGGCGTTTCCAA